AAGAGCACACTTAATATTGCTTGCTACACTCATTCGCATAAACATAAGACTAAGTCTGTTTGATCTTTCCCAAGCTCTATAATGAGTTTTCTCTTCATTACTACTGACATCAGTGATAGCAATCGGTTTTTCAACTTGGAAAGCCAAATTAAAATCCAACTCACCTAAGTGAAATTTGACTTTCTCACTCCAGTCAGGGAATTTAATCTATTAAAGACTGGAACAGACGAAGTAAGCGAATGTAGAAATACATAAAAAAATACTTCAATTAACACATGTCTAACATTAACGCTTTGAGTAATAAAAACTAAATATAAATACAGATTCAAACATAAATAATCATTCTATGCATACTAATGTTCTCCTTTGAGAGATCCACTAATACACAAACATAATTACGCTAATCAATTTATAACTTTAATGATAATTAAAATATGCATCAACTAGAATCACCTAACACCTTTGGGTATATAAATAAAACTAGTGACGCACACAAAATTATCTACTTTCATGTTCATTAATTATAATAACAACTAATCAACCTTTGGGTGATCCCTGAAATGCCTTATAATAATGAACTTCAATTAACCCATAAATCATTATTCATAATTTTAGCGTTCATATTATGGGTAATTGAAATATAATCATTAATAATTTGAAATCAAAATAACCTTAAAATTTTGGCCACTTTTGTGACTAACAAAATTTATCATGCTTAATTTCAAATAAATAACATCTTTAATTGCTATTAAACATTCATAGCATTTTTTTTATTAATTTTAATAAATATGTATATTATTCACATAATAAAATATTATGTGTCATAAATAAAATTGAAACTCATAATTTCAATTTTCATCCTAAGATTGATTTTCAATCCAAGACCTTTATTTGCATTTCACGTAAAAGTGAAATTGTCATCCATTCAAAACTTTTATGAGTAATTTAAACACAGCAGCAGAAACAATATAATTTAGTTTGCAAAACAAAATTCATTCATTTATCAATGTTTACATTATAGGTACATTAACAAAGTTTTACACAACATTAACAAAGTACCCTTAACAAAAAAGTACCCTTAACAAAAAAGTACCCTTAACAAAGTACACTTGACAAAGCTTTACATTACTTTACAGTACTCTTAACAAAGTTTTACATTACTCTTAACAAAGCTTTACATTACTTTATAGTACTCTTAACAAAGCTTTACAGTACTCTTAACAAAGTTTTACAGTACTCTTAACAAAACTTTACATTACTTTACAGTACCCTTAACAAAGCTTTACATTACTTTACAGTACCCTTAACAAAGCTTTACTTTACTTTACAGTACCCTTAACAAAGCTTTACTTTACTTTACAGTACCCTTAACAAAGCTTTACATTACTTTACAGTACCCTTAACAAAGCTTTACATTACTTTACAGTACCTTTAACAAAACTTTACATTACCTTAACAAATTTACAGTACCCATAACAAAGCTTTATAGTACCCATTTTACAGTATGAGTATATTATACAACTCACTTTAACATAAAAATAACTCTTTAATTATCCTTCCCCCACATAAAAAAAAACATGTACGTACAAAATAATGTACAAATAATATGGGGACAAAATAATATAGGGAAAAATGGCTTTAGCAGTCACCAGTCATCAATATGTACATACAAAATAATATTATAAATAATATAATATAATATAATATATGAAACATATGTGTTTAACACGTGCTCTCTACGTGCAAAGTTTATCAACTTTACAGTTTATCATTCTTCCATCATAATTATAACATTTCATCATAACATCTCATCATAATTATAACATACAATAAAATTAATTTCATACATGACCCTAACCCTATCACGTCATTTGTCTTTTCAATTAGAAAGGATTACAGGGTCATTCACGCATAGGGACTATAAAATTGGTTTCAATTTGAACTTGAAAACATAATTAGGGTTTATTCCTTTATTTAATTTTGAGAAAAATAAATTTGGGAATAAATTAGGGTTCGTACTAATTTGATAAAGAAATCCCTAAATTCATAATTAGGGTTTATCTTAATTTGGGAAAAACTTAATATTTGGGAAAACTTTCATACAAGGAAAATCATAAATCTAATAATCAGTGCTCTGATACCACATGTAAAAACATTATGTAGTTTTTCTACGTTCTTAATTCATGATGGAAAACTACTCTACAGGATCTTTAGATTATTGATTTTCACAACATAACATACATGAATCATAATAAGAGAACTAACTTTGATCCATGAAAATCTATTCTTTAATCTTCTCGTTCTCCAATCTCTTTTTTCTCAATCTATCTCTTTGTCTTTCTTTCTCTTCTCACGCTTCGCTTTCTTGATGGTTTACCATGAAAAACTTTATGACCAGAGACAGAACCCTTATTTCATTCAATTAACCAACGTCCATCAAGTTGGTTACCGTAAGTTAATATTTTATTTTATCTTTATTTTATTCTAACTTCACATAATAACCAATAGGTCCTCATATTTTATTAAATCACATTTGGGCCCATTATTATATTTCACATGAGTCACATAATGGAATGAATTAATTAAATTAATTCTAACATCGATTCAATTCAACTGGGTTGTCTTCACTTTGATTGAATTGATTTTGACTTTGTACTATTGAGGGTTTAAATATACGAAATTATTGTATGGGTAAATTTATACGAAATTTGATATTTAATTATCTCAATGGTTCTTTATTTTTCAATTTTTTATTTAAATTCAAAAAATTTGAAATGTTCGTTAAGATTATAGACACATGCGGCATCAACTAGTCATTTAATTTAATTTTATAAACTTATGTATAATTTAGTAATTTAAGATATTTGAAAAATATGAAAAAGTTATTATATATGTGCCATGATTGATTGGGTTGGTTGAGCTTGATTTGGTTGGGTTTGGATAAGTTCGATTTGGTTTGGTTGGTTGAGGCAAAGACTTGTATATTTAAGCAAGTTTGTAACATATATATTTCGGGTTTCAAATTGTAATGACACATGAATGAATATATTTGGTCATTCCTAAATATATGAATCATTTTGTAATAAATAAATGTTATATACTTTAATTATTATGAATAGAAGTTTACTTCTTAATATAAAATACTACTATAATAACAATTTGTATACGGTCGTTAAAATAATTTTGACTAATTAAAAAAATATATATGTTTTTTTATGTTTGACTTTTACAATTTATATTAAAGACTTAAAAAAATTATTATGTCAAATTATTTAAATTTTTAATTATTAATATCAAATAAGGAAGACAAAATTACTCTAAAAGTGAGTTTTAATTCTTAATTTTCTTTTAATCTAATAATCATAAAAAGTTCAGACACCTTATATTATGAAAAAAAATTAAAGATGAGGAAAAAATTCTTATAAAGTATTTTTTTCTTATTATTAGATTTTTTATTTATTATATTAGGGATTAATCTTACTCATACTAGTATGACTTTTACTAACTCGACAAGAGTTTTTTTATATATATAATGGGGATCAAGCACGATTTAACCTAATAATTAAGGTGCCTAATTATTTTAAAGCAAAATTTATCTGAACTTATATATTAAAACAATCATCATTAACATTACACATGGTTCTTATTGTTTTCATTTTTTTCATTCATTATTCATGCAAATAGTTAAAATGTGTTACAAAATACTAAACAAAGTTAATTTTTCAAAAACTATATATAATAATATATTTCATTTCTTATTTATTAAACTCAGAAAAATATATGATTAAAAATAAATTTTTTAAATAATTAATATAAAAATATTATAAAACGCGGTATTCAATTTGTGTTTTACAATACTCATGAGAAGTTAATTAAAATAAAAATGTGTTAAAAAGTTGAAACTCAATCAAATTAAAATAAAAAATAAAAATTAAGTAACTGTATTTATTTTTTACTTTAATTTGGTTTTCAATTTTTTTTCTTAAATTGAATTTAATAAGATTTTTTAATATACCTATATTTATTTGTAAATTATTTCATAATATTTGAAAATTTTATTCAATGATAATATATGCTCATTTATGTTGAAAATAATAAATAGATAACAAAAAAAAACCTAGATCAAAAGCACGAATGAATAACTTATATTGATACTTTTGATATTTTGTAATCACATCATTATTATTTCCTTTAAATTTTTCGAAAGTCTCTTATTTGTTTTTAAATATTACATTGTCAATTTAAAACCTTTACACTTAACATCATTATAATAGTGAAAAAAAAATACGAGTGTAAAATGGGAAAAGAGTCTCATAAAGTTATTGTAATTTATTTATTTTATTATGATACTTATCTTAATCTATGTACCACATATTTAACCTCAATTATTCTAGAATTATGAAATATAATAACTTGATTAGAAGCACACCAAGGAAGGTTAGGTGTTATTTTCTTCTTCATATTACAACGTTCACACTAAAGTTAAAAGAACAAGCTATATACAGGTCTCTCTATTATTGCATGCTTCTAATTTCAGACAAAAAACTTTTTCTTTGTAATAACAGATATTTTCAACTGCAGAAAAAAAAAAACATTTTGAGGCACTTCACTGTATAGTTTTTTAATCAAACATTAAAAAATTCCGAATGCAATTTAATTGTTTTAATCGATGATATAAATACCTTTAAATGTAACAACAAACCTGGGGAAAAAACTGAAGAAAATTGGAGCAGTGATATGGTAGAAGGAAATGAACAAATATAGGACGTGGCCCTGTTTTGGCAAAACGACAAGGACACAAAGACCTCCAAGACAAACCTCCTAAACAACCTGCTCACAGACACAACACACCAATGCCATCACCATTCACCAACTTTACCACTACAACCACAACCAACGCCTCCTCTTTCTCTCTCTTTCTCTCTTACTCTCCCACACAAACAAAAACAAAACACGTTCCATGCCACCATTATTCCCTCTCACAAAGACAACCACACTCAATGGCTTCTTCCAACGCCGTATCTTCTCTCAACGTCGTCGGATACGCGCACACCACTTCTCCACCAAACAACCATCTATCATCGCTATCACGCATCAGTCTCCTAACCCTAACGCTCCTCCTCCTCGCCGTTGTCATTTCCCTAGCCGTTTATTTCCTTATCCGTTACCGTAACCGTTTCCTCCGTCGCATCTCTCCATCATCCGCTGTATTATTCACCTCCGGGAATCGGATATCATCGGAGACCGCTTCTCCTTCCGTCGGAGACGGTCTCCCGGCTTTCACCTTCTCCTCCGTCACGAGGCGCTCCGCCGCCTCCGGCGGCGGAGCGGACTGCGCTGTTTGCTTATCGAAGTTCGAGCAGCACGACCTTCTCCGTTTGCTACCTTTCTGCTGCCACGCATTCCACGCTGAATGCATCGACACGTGGCTCCAATCGAACCTCACGTGTCCGCTCTGCCGATCCGCCGTCGATGCGTCGGAGTCCGACCTCGCGAAGGTGTTCCGCTCCTCGTCCGTCGCTGGCGGCGAGAGCTTCCGGCTTGAGATAGGGAACATCAGCAGCAGTGGCCGCCGCTCCACGGGGGCCGGTGAGGAAACACGCGGGAGGTCCTATTCCGTTGGCGCGTTCGAGTATTTCATCGACGAGGAGGCTGAGATTGAGGTTGCATTCAGTTATGCTAGCAGGCGAAGCGTTTCCGGCGAGAAAGACGAGGGTGTTGCGGTGGAGGCTGCGGCAGATTCTCTGCCGAGCTTGGCTGGTGAGGTAGGACGTGGAGGAAGTAGTAACAGTAATGGCTGGTTGAAGGATTACGTTGATCGTCTTTCGAATACGATGTCGTTTCGAAGTTCCGGAAGGTTCTTCACTGGGAGTAGTCGCCGAAGCGACGTCGTTGTAGGTGGAGATTACGACGCGGAAGCGAACCGTTTGGGGGATGATATCGGTGAAATGTTTCGATGGCTCTCGGGGGTTTGAGATGTAAATGAACGGAATAGTTAGTGGAGATTTAGAATTTTGAAAATTTTTCAATTGGTTGACTGATATAGATACATTGATCTTGATTGCATGAATAGCATTTTCTGAAGAACATCACCAAGGTTTTGAATCAGTGAAATTGCAATTAGTTTTTTTTTTCCTTGTTTTTCATTGTTTTTACTTTAATGCGAAATAGGGCCCTTTTTTATGGTACTGTTTGAGATATTATGCAGTCTATTTTATGTCGCAGTGGCAGGGATCTTTTTCATTGTTTTTCTCGTACGAGTAAATTTCCTGATGTTAATATTTTACCGGCTTAAATTATATGTTTTAGTTCATGAATGAGTTTTCATTTTAGTTTTATAATTTTTTTATTTTTATTTCAGTTTTTATCACAACTATATATATATATATATATATATATATATATATATATATATATATATATATATATATATATATATATAGTATTAGTATTAGTATTAGTATTAGAATTCGATCATACTTAAAGTTTTATTTTAATAAAATATAAATTACTTAAACAAAAACAAGATAAATAAAACTGCGATAAACTAATAAGTTATGTTACGTGTTCAATTATTGGGAATCTTTTACGTTAAAAGTTAGTTCTTTTAGTTTGTCCTATGTTATGAAACGCCGACTCCTTTTTTATGTCTCAAAAATTGCATTCTTATCTCATGAAATCAATAAACTTTAGTTTATTTTAGAGTAAAGGAATAGGTGAGCAACTATGAACAAACCTCTCCAGGGTTTTTTTCTTTTTTTCACTTCAATTTATAAGGTCAAGGTGACTATCAAGTAATAATTAATTTTGAAGATCTTGTTATTATATCATTATTAGGTTTTGAATAATTATATTAATAATTTTAAACACCATCATGCATATTCCTTGAAATAATGAAGTGTCTTTAATATTATATTTCGTTAGTATTTCAAAATTATTAAATATCTAACCACAAATTAGAATGATCAACATGTTTTTTTTTTCAAAATACTTAAACCTCTTTAGAACAAATCTATGTAACATGCATTTTAACAATAAATTAGTCTTAAAGAATCAATACATATAAATATATTTGTTAAGACGATCATGATATATTTTTTTAATAAAATATTAAAGAAAATAATTTTTTTAGCATGACTCGTGTCGGTCGCAGCAACTTGTTCTTTCTTTGGGAGGCAAGCAATTTGTCGAGACCATGGCGAATAGAGGGAAGCGATACACCTTAAGTTTGGAAAGTAGTTCATACTAAATTGGTTGAAAACAAATATATAATTGTTTTGAAATATGATATAAATAAAATAAGACAATTTCAAAGAAAAAAAAAACGGAAAAAATAAAAAAAATATAACGATAAAAATCACATATGTAATATAAATATTGATAAAAATGTAAATGTTATTAATAAAAAATAAAAAATATATTTTATCATATATTTTTTTAGTTTTTAAACAAGCAAAAGTTTTTTTTTAAATAACAAAATAAACATCAAACAAAAGTTTATTTTCTAGTATGCACACAACTACTTCATGTTATTAACTGTTACTCTTCAAATTTGATTGTATTATTGATCTTAAGTTGTGAATTTGTTACTCTTTTAATTAATTTTATTAATTCAACATTTATATAATATATATTATATCATTTATCATTGTCAAGTAATGGATAAATTAAATTAATTATGTTAATGTATTTTTTAATTTTTATTATCATGTTATTAGATATTAATCATTACATGAAACAGTGGCTAATTGTACGAAAGAATTTGAGCGTATGCCATCATGATTTGTTTTACATTTAAATTGACATAAAGAATATTTGATCTAAAAAGTATTTTATGATTAGTTATTATTTTACAGAATGTAATTTATTGGGTAATTATAATCATACTTATTATATATTTTTTCCATGGTGTTTGATATTTATTTAGAGTATAATCTGTTGTAGATATATATAAAAAAGGAAGTAGAATAACTTTAACTATAACTCAGAATGTCAAAATATGATTAATTGGAAAAGAATAAGTTTAGAATTGTAATTGATTACATATTTTTATAATTAATTACATCAAGAGTTTTGAGTTAAAAAAGAAGAAGAAGCTATACTATCGTTAATTACGCATCAAGTTAGTTGATTATAGAGTGTAATCAATGAATTTATTAAATGATACAATGTAGTATTGAAGTAAATGATACAATATATTATAAAGAATTTGTAACTTATTACAAATATAAAATAAAATAGGGTACAAAATGAAACATGAATCATGGTAATAAATACATTAATTACTTGATAAAATTGATAAGTTTTAGAGATAATTAATTACATGAAAAAGTTAAAATTAATATATTATATATTTACATTAGCTAATAATTACATAAATTTAAAATGTGTTGAAGTTCTCAATTATTACGAAATTAAGAAAGAATACAATATATAAATTATCACTCCATTCATAAAAAAGTGAAATTCGGTGTAAAAGATAACACCTTATTATAAAATTACCTAGAGTTACGATATATAAAATTTGATATTTTAATTAAATTAACTACATTAATACATCAATCATTTATAAAATAATACTTAATTTATGATGAAAATATTTTTATATATTACCCTCACAAGAGCTGTCACATACATCACATTTTAATATATACCATGTTATTTTAATGTTGTTGGTAGATGTATAGAGTTTGGATAAATAAAATAATATGTGAACTGATGAAGGAAGAACTTTTGGTATTTGGATTACGTAAAATTCTTATTTATTATCTATTAATGGACATAATAATGGTTATCAATTATAAACATAATTTTTTTGCATTTATTAATTTTTCCTATCCATTTAAGAATTGTTTTGTAATATTTTAATTTTTAACATATAATATATTTTTATGTAATAATTATGATAAATATTTGTGTTTAATATAATTAATTTTATTTATTAATTTTCATATATCATTAACTATTTTATTAAATTTGTAATAAAATAATTGTTAATTTTATATACATAAATAAATAAAATATATCCTCGTATATGTACAAATCGTTGAAAAATATATCTTATATTATTCAAATTTTATTGAAGATATATATTTCTAATAAATAACTAATCATTATTTTTTAATTAAAATTATAAATATATATATATATATATATATATATATATATCACCCAATTATCTATGTGATAATAATTTATTTTTAATAATAAAAATTTAAATTTTAATAAAATAATTTATATTACATAAAAAAACACATTTTACCGTTCAATTTAGTTTATTATGTATTATAGGTTAACTTCCGTAAAAAAAAAAAAACGTCGTAGTTCCCCATGTTTAAACACAATCTTCCTTTTGTTTTGGTCTTTTTGATATAAACAAATACAATAAATATTCTTTTTATATAAACACTAAGTTTATTTAAAGAAAAAAATATTTAATGTTCATAAATATAAATATAAAAATATTAAATATACAATATAAAATTCAAAATATTAAATATTTAATATAAGAGTAGACAACCTTATAAAAAAAAGTAGAGAATTTATTTGATTTTTAAAAAAAAATTAAAAATAACTTTACAAATCAAATTTGAAGAACATTTTTTTTCCGGTTAGTAGTTTTTTTTCTTCTACAGTACTAATTTTAAAATTAGTTTAGATGAAAGATGATCATACCTGTTGCAATGTTGGAGAGGAAATTCCACAACTTCATCAGAAGAAAAGATGAATTAATACAGATATATCATTAACAGAAATAAAAAAAAGTTTCAATAATTTTGATTTTTAATTTTTAAATATTAAAAATAAAAACTAATTTAACAGAAAAAGGTTTTAAATTTTAAAAACCAAAAAGATTAAGATTAATTTTAAAAACAATGAAAAAATAATTCCTAAATTTTTCTAAGTGGAGAGGATATTGCAAATTAAACTTGAAAAAAGATAGAATTCAAACTCAATATTAACAAAATATAGAAAACAACTTCATTTATTAATAAAATAATAATTTTTAATTAATTTTAGTTTGAATCAATCAATTTATGAATATAATATTAATAAACAAAACTGTATAATGGATGATAATTTTGTGCTTCTGTGTTGTTGCCTTTTTGTGAAATTTTTGTTGTGTTTTGTTGACATGAAGTTTACTCAACTTTGTAGTATGCTGTGGAATAAGCTTTCTCAAAAGTAATTAATGTTTAAAAATGGTGTAAAAACATGAACTAATTTACAGATACTGGCATGCCCAGTTACAAGTTGGTTGAACCAACTATTTTAACAGCAACAAATAGTTCAACCATTTCCAATTTCAGATGTATTCAGTAAAAACCTTTGAGATTTGTTATGCTTACGATGCTCTCTATCTACAACTACTCAACAACCTCCACTTTTTGTCTATTTTGTCATCCAAGATTATTTCCGTGTACTTTTCGACATGTCGTGTCCGCATCAAAGTACCAACCAACAGTAGGAGAATAAAGATTAAGCTGAGAGAGAATCAGGAGAGAGAGTGAGAGAGAGGGAGAAAGAAGCAGCAGAGGTTGGATGGTGTTGTTTGGAAGAGCGTGTGCGAGTGTGTGGGCACTTAACGTAATTCAGTTCTTTGAACCAAAAGATAAAAGAAACCAAGTTGTGAATCCTGTTGGTTTGAGTAATTATAATATCCTATGCCGTTGGCATCGTCATCCCTATCGTCCTATGTTTTCAAAAGTTATCGAATCATGTGTGAAAGACATTTCCTGTTCCTTTTATTATATAATGATAATAACAAATTTTATCATTTTCGCGTCCCCTTATTCTATTTCCCTTGGATTTTATTGTATTTGAATCATCAAAAGGTTAATCTAATCAGGATCGTACATAAAGGGGACGAACTTAATGTCTATATAGTTATTGTAATTGTAATATTATTGTATTTGTTCAGTTATTGGTTTACTTCGACTGACCCAATTGGTGTTGTGGCGTGGAGAGTTTGGGACTGTGCCCGAGACACAGAAGGTCTTTGATTTTGATTTAATATTTTCTTCCCAATTAAATACCTTTAGTATTATTTGAATTTATAAAATGGGCTTTGAGTTTGGTGGATGATAGAGCGATTTGGGAAGTTTATTTGTAGGGTTCCCAATTAACTTTCTTTCTTGACTTCATTGACATTGATTCGATTTGGGGAGTGGATTTTCCTCCTGAATTCTTCGCCAAGTTCGGAATTTGACCAATTGGGTTGCTGATTTTCCCCTCAACTTGATCTGGGTCCTTCCCTTCTCTTCAATCTCAGAGTTGTATTGTTGTGCCCAATTCCTGCGGGACAAAGCTAAAACCTCGATTCCTATCTTCTTTCTGGGTTGGATTTGTCATCTTGTAGAATCGTTAGGAGGCATTGGGATGGGGAGAGTAGAAGCTATTGTAGTAGTTTGCTGTTAGTTGTGAAAAGTGGTGGTGGTGGTGTCTTTTTTGTATATATGTATTTGGAGGAGTTTGGTTATACATGATGTTCCATTCTCAGGGTGTGTCAAGACATTGTAGTCTCCTTGCCGTCCTGAGTGGTAAATCACGTGACACCAAACAAAAGCAAAAGCAGAGTGCTGCTTCTGAGGATCAACCTCCTTACCCCTTTCCAGAGCTTTCTTCCTCTGGTAGTCTTGAGGTGAGCACTTAGTTTCTATTTATGTAAATTTTAGTTTTATTTTGTTTTGTTTACTGTTGGTTGTGAGAAAAAAAATATTTTGAAGTGGAAATTTAATCTTCTGTGTGAATTTAGGTCAAGCTATTGATCAAACCTACTACCAATGAACTCAGCCGAGCTCTTGAACAACTGCAGCCAGAATTTGTTTACCTTCAAGGTCACTGGCTAGAAGATAGGGGAGAAATTGGGCCCCTTGTATGGGAGGATTTTGACCTGTCTGCCCCAGAAGCACTGTGTGGATTGTTTTGTTCCAAATTACCTAATACCGTGAGTGTTGTGTGGATGATTTTGTTTTGCTATGGTTTGGGACAGATAGTGTATTTGTTTGATGTCCAATATTCCATGATATTGTTGCAGGTTTATCTGGAAACTCCTAAGGGAGAAAAATTGGCAGAGGCACTCCGTAATAAGGTACTTTTGATTTTAAGTTAGATTAGGTATGAAAACTAAAGTTTGCTGGTTTAAAGTAATATATGAAGTGGTGATTAAACCATAGTTTCATATTTCACTAGTTATCCCTACAAACTGAAAATGAGTGATTGGGTACCATTTGTTGAATCAGTACTCCCAAATTGCTTATTGAAATTAGATGAAATTAGTTTATTGTTAATGAATAGATTAATATATTATAGCTTTCCATTAACCTAAACAAATATACCAACTATGTATACCCTATGTACCAATACTTTGTAAGGCAGCATAGCACATACTTGCACCATACCAATCTACCAGATAATGGTTAACCTATTAATTATGGGTTAAACTAGCCTGCTTAATGAGGATGTGGAAGATGTGACACAACAATATTTTGATTTTTATGTTCCTTTACCATGAAGAATAATTAAATAAAGTATTTTTTTTTTTTGGCAGGGAGTTCCATACACTATCTATTGGAAAAATGATTTTTCGAAGTATGCAGCTTCACATTTTCGTCATTCTTTTTTCTCTGTGGCACAGAGGTATGGTCATGTATCATCTTGGGTGTCATGCTTTGCATATATCACAATTACGGGTTGTGCTTCGGTATTTTCTTGGGGAGAAAAGGGTTTAATGACTGTAATCACACTTCTCACTGACTAATTTTGGCTTCTACCAATGAAGCAGATATGATATGAGACACAATGACAAGAAAATATTTTGTATTTGATTTATGTATTGCAATTTAAAGTTCCAATAATTGGATTTTTATTTTAGTTTTATTATTTACTTAGGTATTGGTTAGAAGTTACTTGACTAATCATTGTAACATGCCTGTATGCCATAATATTGTGTTTCTGATGGTTAATATTATTCGTTGTAGTACATCCAGCCATACATGGGATGCTTTTCAGCTTGCTCTGGCATCTTTTAGACTATACTGTATACAAAACAATGTCTTACCTTCTAACAGCCAGAAAGGTGTTGGTAAGTTTGGTCCACAAATTCTCGGGGTTCCTCCGAACATTGATATTAGTCCATCTGTAGCAGACATGAAGGATGAGGAAGAGGAAAATTCATCTGAAACACTTTCTGCTGTAAAGATCTATGATGATGATGTGAACATGAGACTTCTTGTTTGTGGAGTTCCCTGCACATTGGTAGGCCTGTATAGTTTATTTAGTTTGTTTTCATTAAGTTTGTTATTGCTAATAGTTTTTCTCATGTGATTTGCTGTTATAAACTGATTCCATTGCTTTTACTCTCTCCCCTCCAAAAAGGATGCTTGCTTGTTGGGGTCATTAGAGGATGGACTCAATGCTCTTCTATTTACAGAAGTAAGTTTTTGCATGTGTTTACTTGGATTTCTTGGTTTATCTGCTTCTTTCTGGGTGCTAGATCATTTTTTTTTACTATTCCATACAAAATTGTACCGTGGCCCTTCAATCAATTTAAGTTATTATTATAGGCTAAGTTGTGGTAAAGTTCTGCTTGTTTTCATTTATAAATGTATTGAATTTGATTTTGAATATAGTTTTATCTGACATGTAAAGTGGTACGATTGTATCGATGAAATTAGTTAAGTTGTATAGCATTTTTCACCTTGTTTAGACAATGTAATCTAACATAATACACAATGGATATGCATAGATCATTTCAGAATAAAGCAACCACCATTTAGTTCTTACTTGGCTCAGGTTTCACCATTAACAAACCTAAAGTCACCCTAGTCCAAAACCAAGGTTACCAAGTATAAGTGCCAATGACAGTGAAAAAAGACTAACGTGAATGAATTTATACAAAGAAAGGAACCTAAATGAAGACTATGTGATGTCAAGGACTAAACTGACAGGCATTTACAATCTTAGGGACTAGAATGGGGGATTTACTAATATTTAGTGTTTGTGCTTCATTGAATTTTTTTATTACTCATGTATCTTCTGTTTCTTTTTTGGCTTTTTTTCCAGATACGAGGATGCAAACTTCACAACAGGACAAGGTATTTTGAAGGTTCTGACTTTTGAGAGTTGATACATGTGTTTCTGCATCACTTTTAGCATTTGGTGGAAAATATGATTTTGTGGATGACTGGGGTTTTATTATTGAGTATCAAATACATCCACACTGAATTACTTTTAGGAGTACTAATCTTTAGTTTAGAACTAACTAATATTTTGTTTTTAATATTTGTCTTTTATTGACATCTTATCCAGATTACTAATTTCTTTTACTGTTGTATATTTTATAGTGCTCCACCACCACCTCTGCAGGCAGGAACATTCTCACGTGGTGTAGTGACTATGCGTTGTGATATTTCCACATGTAGTACTGCTCATATATCACTTTTGGTGTCTGGTAGTGCAGACACTTGTTTTAATGATCAGGCACGGGTTAATTTGCTGTCAGTGTTTGACTTTTTTACATATATGCTCTTTAAAACTTTTTAACTTACCCATCACTTGTTCTTCTCCTCCTTTTTCTGTATGCTCAGCTCTTGGAGAATCATATTAAGAAAGAGCTGATTGAGAATAGTCAACTTATTCAGGCATATCCTAATCATGAACAAAGTAAATCACCTTCCTGCGAGCCTCGAAGATCAGCCTCAGTAGCCTGTGGATCTAGTGTGTTTGAAGTTTGTATGAGAGTTCCTGCATGGGCTTCACAGGTTAAATGTTGTTTCTTAAGATTCTTTCTGTCATTTAAAGCTTTCTAATATATAATGTAATTACCCTTAAAATTTATTTTTAAACAATCAAGGGATTTAGATGGAGGTTTTTGTTTCAGTTTGTTTAGATGACGATGACTTAGTTACCTGCAACATTTGGACTTGAAGGAGGGTAATTGGGACTCAATCTAGTCACTTGACACATTTTGACTTTAAAGAGTGTAATTGGGACTGTTTTTGGATAGCTAAAAGTATTTGTGAAGCTTACTAGTATATTCTAGTTGATTGATTAAAGTATCTTAGTCCTATTGTTAGGCCTATGATAGTTGTGTGATTTTTCTGACTGTTATCTTTTGATTAATGGTTTTTGATATTTGTGAACAGGTTCTGAGACAGCTTGCACCCAGTGTGTCATACCGCAGCCTTGTTATGTTGGGAATTGCTAGCATCCAGGGATTGCCAGTTGCTTCTTTTAATAAAGATGATGCTGAACGCCTTCTTTTCTTTTGTACTAGGCAGGAGAAAGAAAACTCTGCAAATGAACATGTTTTCTCTGGGATTCCAAATTGGCTGAAGCCTCCACCGCCCAGTCGAAAAAGATCTGAACCTTGCTCTGGTACAAAGTCTATCAATGCTAGTGGTAGGGGAATTGAAGATGTTGGTAGTCATAGACAGAAGTTAAATCTTGCTGCTATGAAGCCAATCCCTCAATCTCATAGACACAAGATTCTCCCCTTTTCTGGATTGCCTGCGGGTGCAAGATATGATGGAGATAATGGAAAATCAAATCAGTCTCTTGCTCCTATTAAGCATAATGTTTCAGGCCCTACTTCAGTTACAAATAGGAAATCTGTGTCGAACTCATTCCAAGCTAACCAGATCATTTCTTTGAATCCATTACCTATGAAAAAACATGGTTGTGACAGAGCTCCAATACGGGCTTGCTCAGAGGTGGGTTACACTTTTTCTCTTATTGACCTCTGCCACTTTCTTTGGTTTCATGCCGTTGAAGTCAAATGTTACATTATGAAATTCTCAATGCACATTATGTCAAATCTAAATCTAAGTTTCTCATTTTTGTTTCTCCTTGATGCATTTTCTGGCAGGAGGAATTCCTGAGGGATGTAATGCAATTTTTGATCCTTCGGGGGCATAATCGGCTGATACCGCCAGGTGGGCTTGCTGAGTTCCCTGATGCCATTTTGAATGCAAAACGCCTTGACCTGTTCAACTTGTACAGGGAGGTAGGAGATTTGAATACGGAGAGCTAAATGTGTATTACAGCATAGTGGTATGAAAAGTAAAATCTATAACTGATAAACTTGTGCATTTCAGGTGGTTTCAAGAGGAGGCTTTCATGTTGGAAACGGTATCAATTGGAAAGGGCAAGTTTTCTCAAAGATGCGGAATCACACTTTGACAAATAGAATGACTGTATGGATCCTGATCTTATTTTTGTCTTTCCTTTAACATGGCATTTCCTTGCATTACATGCATGTATGAATGGGCTGAGCTTCTATTGGTGAACCTCTAGCAATCGCTTACCAGGCATCTTTGAGCTTTTGTTGAGATGACTGTTCCTGATATAATATGCTATATTTTGCTGGCATGAAGCACTCAGTTGTTTATCTTTGTTGAAAACTGTGCTATACACTTTTTTTTTTAATATTTAAGTTCACTACTGAATTTATATTCTCATTTTTTCTTTTGATTTATGCTCTCCTTTTCCTTATGGGCAGGTAATTATAGTATTAATTCACTAGTGGGTGACATTGATAGAAGCTTAGGAGAACCACACCACGAAAGCTAGCTATTGTAGTTGGACACTCCAAAGCCTTATAAACCCCACACTAGAATCTCATACTTCGTATGTGGACTCAAGTCCCGTACCTTGCAATTTGATCCCAACCAGTCATTATTAGTATTAAGCACTCTTTGCAGACACTGACTTAAACTTTATGTATCTAAGTAAACAAATGCTCCCTGTTCTATAATCACTTAACTATTCAAGTTGCATGGCCCATTGTCAGCTTCGGCAGAAAAGCAAAAACAGTATTATGTGACTCCTTCAATTTGCAGCCCAGTAATATTTGAATTGCATTTGTTTCATACTTTTACAGAGTGAAAAAGAAAATAAGAAAATTACTTTGCGGACAACTTTATGTCAAGTTTATAAATCTTTATAAATAAAAGGGATATATGACAGTTTTCTTTTAGTTTTCTTTTATAAACATTAGTTGATAACTAGTTGTGTAATATACATCCAATTGACAATTCAATATATTAGTATAATAATATGTATTATTATTATTATTATTATATTAATATAATAGATTGTAATATTTTCTTTAGAAGTACTTGCTTTATGCTTGACACTACTTTCTCTTTTGAACATAAGAATAATATTTTAGATCCACATTCTCTGCATTCCTGGAGACATAAATTATTTCCTTTTGCTATCAGGGTGTTGGCAATACACTCAAAAGGCATTACGAAACTTATCTCTTAGAATATGAATTGGCTCACGATGACGTTGATGGAGAGTGCTGCTTGATGTGTCACAGGTCTACCTCTCCGCTCTCTCCTTATATATATCTACAATGTGGAGGTGAACAAGTTCTGTCTTATTAACTATTATTTACCTTTCATGTTGGAGCAACAGTAGTGCAGCAGGTGACTGGGTGAACTGTGGTGTATGTGGTGAGTGGGCTCATTTTGGCTGTGATAGGCGGCAAGGACTTGGAGCATTTAAGGTATTACAAAATTTTGACTTTAATGTGTAAAGATCAAATAAATGCATGCATGCATGGCTGGGAAAAGCCCTTCAAAGACAATTTTTCTTTTAGTCTTTTGGATCCTCTACAATTTTAAACAGTGTATTGATGTAGGTCAGTTTTTCTGTGATGCAATTGTTTTCATTGCTCCTTTGGTTGGGATATAAAATTGCAATGGAGCTGTTTGTATTGTTTAAGCATGAAGCTATTCAGTTTTGACCTGCTTCTTATAGGCATCTCAACAATTTTTAGTTGAAACTTTACCATGTACGTTGACAATAACAGGTCAAACTGCAACAAATAGCAGTTTGAATCTTGCTTTTGACTTTGTTTATGCATTAATATCAGCATTTATATTTGTTTCTTTCAGAAGAAACTTAGAACAGGAGTGCTAGCAACAATTTCTTTAACACTAACATTGATTGAAATTTACTCAGAATCATATTTCCTTTTCAAACAGTCTTATGATGTTGTCTTCAATAAATTTCAACAGATAATAAAATTATGTTTGCAATGCTACTAGCATTTCTCAAGTAAAGAATAATCACATCTGAGAAATGGAAACAAGTAAAGAAAAAATTGATATCCATTTCTGTGCATAGCTACAGATTGTATCTGAATGAAATATGAGATGCAAACTCTATCATTATTTCTGACCACTATATATTGAATGGCAGGACTATGCGAAAACCGATGGACTGGAGTATGTTTGTCCTCGCTGCAGCGCCTTAAAATTCAGTAAAAAATCTCAAAAAACTGCAAATGGTTATTAACAGGTGAAATGATGCTGTCTCATTCCCAGAACAAAATGTACATGGCAAGTGTTAGATAGATTTACTTACACATCCATTGTGCTCAGACTTATGTCTCTCAATCGGTAAGGGTAGGTTCTAAGGACTGAAGTTGATTCACTTATGTTAAGCTTTAGAGTGTTTCTTTTTTGTCAAAGGTACCCATACCTAGTAGAAAATGGGTGTCTTCCTACACCTTGGGTACACTTAGGAATTCATTGCAATTATTATGATTATTTTTTCTAAAATTTGCACCACTTCTTTAATGTGACTTAAGTAGACAACATACTGTCTGAATAAAATTTTCCATTAAACCTAAGAGAAAAAAAATAACATGAAAAAAATGAAAAAATTTCATTTAAACAAGATTTATGGCAGCTTTATGTTTATATTTTTAGGAATGATTAAAGGACTAGTTAAATTCCCCTCCCCCAAATGAGAGTCATCCTATATTTTCATGTTTTCCTCGTATAATGGGAAGCTGCACCGAGAAAACACGATTTCATCGGATTTAATAAAAAAATATTTTTTTAAAATAATAAATATATAATAATTTTATTAATAATAATAAATTTTATATAAAAAATAATAAAGTTTATTATTATTATTATTATTAAAAATTATAAATATAAAACATATTAAAAAGTAAAAAATAGATAATTATTAAAATAAAAACATAATAAAATAATTATTATATAAAATTTAGGTAGTTAATACGAGATAAAAAAATAAAAAATATTATATTTTTAACAAAAAAAATTATATTAAAAATATTTGATTATAAATATTTTTTTATTAAAATCAGTTCAATCTAAAATTTCAATCATTTATTTTATTTTATTTTGATTTAACTAAAATTTAATTATTTGAAAGTAAATCATTTTTTATTCTGATTCTTAAATCGGTCCATGATTTTTAAAATAGTATTATATAAAGTATATAATTTATTCATGTAACTAAAAATTATTATAACAAATTACTTTAAAATTAGTATAAAATAAATAAAATTTAGTTTGATTTAGAGATTTTTTTTTTAAATACTATGTGATAATTCTAATTTGGAAATTATTTTAGAAAAAAAGAATTGACATCAATAAGGATAAAAAAATCATGACGAATATGTATTTTAAATAAATATTAAATATACATTATTGTAATAAATAAATATTAAATATGCATGTTTTTTAAGTAACTATATAAATATAAAATAATGCTAATAAAAAATAAAATCATCTTAAATGAAGGTAAATTAAAAAATAGGCTTACAAGAGATTGTCTCATTCAATATCTGAAGACATTCTGTGAAAGAGATAAGCATTAATATTTTTGAAAATAAAACCTTTAATTCTTTGAGATCGTTAAAATAGAAAAAGAACTACACATCAATACAAATTTGAAGATAAATATTTGCCACTTACAAAATTAGAAAAAAATAAAATTTGAAAATAAAAAATTATATTCTAATGATACAACTAAGCAATTATTATTGTTTCTGTTCAATGGTAGTGTTTAGTACCATTTTTTTTATTGTTTATATAAAGATAAAAAAAAATTATAATAGAAACGAAATATAAATTTTGAAAATAGTTCGAGTAATGTAACGACCCTAGAAATCGATACTATAATGATGTCTTCGTAGAATAGTAAAAAAGTAAATAACAACATCTATTTTACATTATATTACTTGTAATTGTAACATAGATTGATTCCGGTTTACTAACGGAACTTCAAAATATAGTAACATAATTTATTTATATATTATACATGTAAAAGTAGCTCTCTCGAAGCTATCCCACTGAACTATCCCTGTTGTCTAGTAGTCACATCTCCATCTTTCTACTCCTGATCTGCTCCCACATAAAAGTGATCATCGCAGTCCCATCCACATGGAAAAATAGGGGTAAGTATTAAATCATTCGATATAATAAAACAGATATAGAAGTAATAATTATATATTATGATCAATTACGAAATTATCAACACACTAAGACACTTTCCGGAAGTATACCATAACTATGCCCGAAGTCAGAGGCTATCATCTGTGGGCACATTGTGATCGGTACCCGCAGTATCATTCTGACCACCCTCCACACAGAGTAGGATTACTGACGCCCTTCATCACTCATACTGGAGTACCCCCGAGCGCGCCACCAGTCATCCCCCATCGACTTCTCACCACCTGATCTCGTAGTCTACCTGACCCGACCAATCAGTGAAGTCTGAGACCTCATTCAGAATCCTCCGACATAGTTATTACACTAATGTACTCTGTACCAACGCGGGTATCATTCAAACATAACAAAAATTATTCACATGTCCCGAAAATGACTATTTTACCCTTGAATAATTTTGAAAATTCCATTTATGTCCCTAGGATGTAAAATGACTATTTTGCCCTTGAACATTTTCAAAAATTATATTTATGTCCCTAGGATGAAAAATGACTATTTGCCCTTGAACATTTTCAAAAATTACATTTATGTCCCTAGGATGAAAAATGACTATTTTGCCCTTGATCTTTTTAAAAAATCCCCACCATATCCTTTTTTCTTCCTTCGCCCCACTAATAGTATCGAAATTTGCAGATTTTGGCAGATTTCAAATTACTCAGTTTTAGACAACCAAACTAGTCCCAAATCAAAATTAAACATGAATTATATCTAATTTAAGTTGAAAACAGCAATTTTACTATATAATTCATCCTTAATTTCAAGAATTTAATCAATATTTAAAACTTTGCAAAATATGAATAGTAATCACCTCCAGTACGCCATTTTCAAAATCCAGGTTTCAAATTTCTCAGTTTCAATCACCTAAATTAGTTCCAAATCAAAATTAAACCATAAACATGTTCAATTTAAGTTAAAAACAACTATTTTATTATATAATTCATCCTTAATTTCAAGAATTTCAGAAACTTTCAAACGGTGAACAGTTCATCAGAATAAGAAATTATTCAAAATCAGACATTCAAATAATTCATATCTCTACTCCTATTCCTTATTCGCAGAGTACCCAACAATTCAATTTCATATATTGAATGAATTAAACTTCCCCTTACTTGGTATGATATTTCTACCGAAGTTTTCCCACTTAATTCAAGTTCTCTCTCGTTTCACCAGATCTTGCACGAGTAGAGTCTCGTTGCTTGAAATTTAGACAATAGAAGAAGAAAGATGAGAGGAAAATTTTGATTCTGCTCCTTCCCCGCTTTAGTATGCATATATAAGAAAAACAATTTACTTTGCATCTTGCACAATAATATTAATATAATATTAAAATAAGGCATACATCACAAGTAACGTGTATATATATATTCAATTAATAAAATATATAAAATAATAATTATATTATTATTATTATTTACTAATTTTAATTTGAGTTGAACATGCAAAATCTATTATCTCGTATATAAAAGATTACGTGAAATCATGTTGAGTGGGTTACATTCAACCTATTTTATTTAAGTTAAATTATATATCACCAAACTAAATAAATATCCTAATCATTAGGCGATTTTGCAATTATATATGGTAGCATTTTAGACGAATCTAATAATTTGGTAATGGACTCTCTGCATCTTACAAGATGACATGATAAATTCATTAAGCAAACTTTGACTTCACAGTTGCATTAGAAAAAGAAAAAATTAATTATTCAATTTAATCACAAATAGAATTTATTATTATAAGAACATCATTAATCCAAAAATTTTAAAACATGAAAACTCATGTTATTTTTAATTTTCTTATTTCAATTTAATGGAAAATCTAACACACACTTAAATTTTAATAAATAAATATTACTACCTATATTTATTACTATACAACTTATTATTCTATCAGAAATCCATTAAAATTATAATTTATTTCGACTCAGAACAAAAATTCATTATAGATCTATCTAGTATACTATCAAAAGAATTCTAAAAAAAAAAATTCTTATTTTATTGCAGTTGATCTTTAAAATCGATGTCAAATCTCTAGGATTAAATTTTTTCAGTTTGGTCAATTTTTTAAATATTATATAAACTAATTATTATCAATAATTAATATATATATATATATATATATAATAAAACATAATAATTAAACTATTTTTATTTTATCTAATCATAATATTATTCAATATTTTAAAAATTAAACATGATTCCAACAAATTTATTAATAATAATAATTTATATAAAAATTGTTATTATAATACCTGTAAGATTATAATAACAATTATAAATATAAATAATAATAAAAAAAGTAAAAATAAAAATTATTAAAATAAAATAAAAATATAATAAAATAATTATTATTTAATTGTAACGTAATTAATAAAAAATAAAAAATATTATATTTCATATAAAATTATTATATTTAAAAATTTTAATTTTTAAAATATTTTTTATCAGGATTGATTTAACTAAAAGTTAGACCAATTTTTCTTGTTTTTTCAATTTTATGCAGGTTAAGTAAAATTCACTTATTTGAAATAATAAATCACTTTTAAATTAGACGATATAATTTAATTTTTAAAATATTGATATTAATCATAATAAATGCCCTTAAATATATGATTTTATACATATCTTATATCCTAAAAATAAGACATACGAGATTTTATATAATAACATTTCCGTGATATGAAATAAACACATTAAATCATACTTTTCCTTGATATTTTACTTTATGCTTATATTTTTATCTTCTTCACTTGTGTATTAGAGTGACAATATGTAATTTGAGTTTTATAAATAAACATTCTTTTCAATAAATCAATAAGTCTTGCGCTATTAATATCTCTATGATTTTATTTATTAAAATTAATGGTTTAAATTAAAATATAGACAGATAATTTTCAAAATGAAGAGACATACAATATTATTAATCAGCGTGGCGTAGGGAAAACGTGATATTTTCATAACCCACATGTTCCCGTATTAAAATTTGGCTTTGATATTAAGTAATTTTTAAAGTCTTTAATTAAAAAATTAA